ATATATCAATGATTTACCTGGAAATTTACAAAATATCACAATAATGTTGGCCTATGACACATCAATCGGTGTTGCGGGAAAATATGTAAAATCCATAGAAGCAACTCTCAACCATGATTTAGCCCAATTGAATAAATGGGCAGAAAAGTGGTGTGGTGTGTTCTAACGGTATATCTAGCATACTTTAAGGGCCTATTCGATTATGCTAAACCGGTTTTGGTTTCTGGAAAACCATGCACTCGTTTATGTCGAAACCTAAAACTGGGTTCTGAAACTTCGAAACCATCTCCGAGGCAGGTTTCGCAGTTTCGGTTTCGCGTTCTCTCACAAAAAACATGGCGGAAACAATCTTGGTGGCAAAATAGAGCATCAGTTTCTGTAACCAAAATAATGATAAAAAATCAACTGAGAACTAGGAAAATATTATTTAAAACCCCAGTCTATTTGAACATGACTATTTTACGTAACTTGTATACATAAAATTAATTGTAACAGTATAATTACATATACGCAAATACTTACTTCCAAAAGCATCTCATCTCTTTATTATTTGTCTCTTTGGCAATGCTGTCATTCTATTCGTTCCTCATAGTTTGTATCGATTTTGAAACCGGATGGTGAAACCATCCACTCGTTTATAAAACTAGAAATTGGTTTCACTTTGAAACCATGTATCCGAAACTAGACAATCGTTTATAACAGGAGAAACCAGTTTCAGAAAACAAAACCAGGTTCGCAATAATCGAACAGGCCCGTAGACATAGAGGGGGTGGTGGGGGTTCTAACGGTTATATCTCAAATACATGTAGAGGCGGGAGGCCTAACGGGTATGAACAACAATACAAACTTTCATGCATTTATGACCCACATTTTCGAACCTTTTATCAGTCTCTAAAAGGGAGCTGGCAATAGATTTTAACGAGCTTCGTCCTTCAACCCTGGAAACCTTTTAATATGGTTGATTAATCCTTTGTCATTTATCAAACAAAGTAGTGAGGTTGTGCTTTATTGTTATAGATTTCTAAAATATATGGACACTATTGGGACGTTGGTAACTGTCATCAGACATTATTTGACGACATTTCTCATGGTTTGAATATAGCCGACTTTATAGAAGATAAATATCAGTTTACAACACAACTGCCTAAATCTTGGTATTTTCGAAATCAGAGACGGGATATGCCGATATTTAGCTCGTTAACCTAGCATATTATGGTCACGAATATAATATTCTATTTATTAACGAAGTCTTTAATTGCGAAAATTACGCGATAATCTACTTTCCAACAAAGGCAGGCTCCCCCTCATCGTTGTATTTAGAAGGCGGCTTCTTAGAAGCAACGTGACGTCATAATATTGTTCATGATGTCATGTCACCATGACAAAGTGATATTTTACCCGGTGCATATCGCATGAAAACAAATTATGCCCGATAAATTTGCCCTCGTATGTTATAAGCATTGTTATTATCGTTCTTTGAGGTTAATGCCACCCGTTGAATTCTTTGTTGTATTTTGAGCGGTGAAACTAAATAAATGATTTCTTTGGTCTACCCATAACAATTAAGGTGTCAACTTCCACTGTATACCTTACAGAAAGAAGTTTTGACTTTACTTTGATAACGAGCACATCTGATCGATTCCTTGAAGCAAATGATGCAATTCAATATCATTTCTACATTTTATTTTAAATGCATCAATCAAATACAAGAAATGAGGAGACAGATTGACTGCTATGTGGCAAGGAATAACCAGGCGCAAGCGATTTATGATATCCTTAGCAAATGTAACTTAAAATTCCCTCTCATAAAAATACAATAATACGTAGTAATATGATGAAGAAAATAATACGAAGAAGGTTAAACTATGACAACGCAATATATGAATGTATGATCGAAACATAAATCATAATAAATCACATATGATTAAAACATTAAATAAACTTCAAATATGTCATTGCGTCAACATTGAAAATAATTCGAAAATGAAGAAAAAGAAACGTACATTTCAAAGCGTAAACAAATAATATCCTGTTATTTTGGGATATGCTATGAAGAACTTCAAAATGTAATAGAAATAAAATAAAATTATTGAAAGCTATTGTTCGTAAAATATGCCCTTGCGTCAACATCGAAAATAACTCCATAATGAAAAACAATTAACTTTTATTTTCGAAACATACACAAATAATCTCTGGCTTTTTTAAGACGTGTCACGAATAATTTCACAGCTGGTAGAATTAACATGAAATTATAGAAACCATATGCTAACGAAAAATTGAAAATTAGTAATGACAAAGCGTTTGTCACAAACATATAGCTATTACCCCCGCCACATGTCGATATCTGAATGTAGCAATTATCCTCTGTCTGACCCTGAAAATTATGTAAACGTTACCGAAACTGTCATCTGATGCCTTGATACAAAATGCGAACAAATTCCATCCATTAGGTTTGGAGATATCAAAGAATACTCGCTCTGACCTTGAAAATAATCCGAAGGTCACTGAATTCGACTGGCGTTAGACGATACTCCCAACGCATCTTGGTACTACCTTTAAGCAAAACATATTAATTCTGTCTTGTATTTTCGCACTAAAAAGTTAGACATGTGCAAAACACTTTTCACTGTGAACTTAAAATGAGCACAAGTTTCCCAATCAATTGGTGTTGGGAAGAATCCCGCCAATACACCTTGATATAAAATTGGATCAAAATCTATTAATACTTTCCTGAGTTCGCGGTTACCAAGCTTGGCATGTGCAAAACTGTTACGACTTCACTGTGACCTTGAAAAATGACCTCAAGGTCACACATTTCAAGTGGTGTCGGTAAATCTCCAATCTCCAGTCAATAATCCTTTGTACCAAATTTGAACAAAATCCATCTTTTCTTTCTCGAGTTCTTTCAGTAAACAGAATGGGGAGTCATTTGAACAAGCGATTGTAGTTTCAAATTGCTTCTACCAATCTCAAACATAGCATATTTTGTTTCCTGAAGTTTGTGATGCATTTTATTGCAGATTTTACGTTTTTTGGGAGTACCAAGCCAAGATACAAAGTCTCACAAAATGGGATCGTGAGGCTGCAACATAGCAAAACCAATTTGCTTGAGGCTGACAGATAATATTTAGAAAAATAAAACATAAAAACAGCTGCATTTGTATCATATTCTAGGTGAGGCTGACTACTATTTGAACGTCCCTCGTAGATACCCGTTAGAACACCCACCCATCTCTCCGACTCTACATGCATGCAAGTGTGTTAGATATACCCGTTAGAAAACCCACCCCACTTTATATGTATACATATCAAAACCTCAAAAGATATTTGCGAAAAGACATGATACAGAGGACAGTTTATATCGATTATATATCAGGACAAATATCATTTTCGTCATTTAGCAAAGATTTGTCAATTCATTCTTGGGTTATCGCTCTAACAATCTTTATATTGGCAAAACCCTCAGATTTTTGCTGTGACCTTGAAAATTATCTCAAGGTCACTCCATTTCACTTGTGTCGGTGAATCTCGCCAATATACCTTGGTACCAAATTTGAACAAAATCCATCATTTCTTTCTTGAGTTATCGCCCTAATAAGCTTATTTGATGTATGAAATGCAACGAAAAACAAACACCCGCGTATTTACGAGTGATTAAAACTGTTATTACAATTTACGTAAATATTTATTACATTTTACCGCAACGAAAAGTATTACAATTTACGTCAATTTTTATTACAATTTACCGCAACGAAAAGTATTACAATTTACGTCAATTTTTATTACAATTTACGTTTTTATTACAATTTACGTCAAGTTTATTACAATTTGCTGCAAGTATTACAATTTGCGTTTTTATTACAATTTACGTCGTAACAAGCCGGTTTCCTTGTAGATAGACTCTTTTCCTATTGCCCGTAACGTATGTCTTCATACCTCCACGGGGCGGTGGGGTAGCCTCATGGTTAAATCGATCGCTCATCACGTCGAAGACCCGGGTTCGATTCCCGACATGGGTGCAATGTGTGAAGCCCATTTCCTGTGTCCCCCGCCATGATATTGCTGGAATATTGCTAAAAGCGGCGTAAAACTAAACTCACTCACTCATACCTACCCCGTTAACAAGATGAGCAAAATGGCGTCGTATGTTCTCCTTTGTTTCAGCATGCTTGAGGACTTCGGACACCTGGGAAGTCCTTGCAAACCATCTGTAAAAGGTACAATTTTGTATCCCAATACACAATGCTTGGAAGAGGGGACGAAGTGGATTGGGTGGTCATGCTCATTGGCTTTGTTAATTGTGTGTAACCGTGCCCGACGGGTGGTACGTTACATAGATTGTTAATCACTACTGGGCCTGATCCAGATTGCCGTGGTGGCCAGATGGCCTCCAGAAGGAACCGTTTTATCTCCATCTTCTGTTGCACGGATTCCAGACGAAGACGATGTCACGGGTCGACCTCGTTCAAGAAGATCAGGTTCAACAACCAGATCTGAGGAGCGTTTGATCATGTCGTTCTCTTAGGGTACTTTAGATCTCATTTGTGATGTAATCCCGTGAAGATCCGGGTTAGAATTGGTCTTCAGCAACCCATTGTCCTAAGAGGCGAGTAACATGATTGGGTGGTCAGGCTCGCTGACTTGGTTAACACATGTCATCGTATTCAGTTGCATAGATCGACACCCATTCTGTTGATCTGTGGATTGTCTGGTCCTTATTTAGAGACAAATAGGTGGGATATTGCTGAGTTGGGCGCTAAACAACAAACAAACAAACAATATACTCATGAACGAACTAGATTTGTCATTTTATGTACAATTCGTGTACTGTGAGTGTCAACTCGACGGCATCTTTTTAAACAGGATGGCAGTAATGTATATCTTGGACTCATGGTCATGACAATTGTCCGATAGAGGAAGACACTGTTGACATAGAGGTTCAGACACTTTAGACTTATGTAGTAAAAGGTCTTCAACTGGGACCTCAACATAGAACAGTAGCGCAAAGACACCAACTACCTTTGATACACGGAGTGGTCAACGACAGCAACAACATCAATGTGTATTTGGTCAGTCGAACGTTTCCTTCTGGATTCTTGCGTCCACCGTTCAGCCTCCTGCTCCGAAACATTATCTTCGTCATCTGAGATAATGGTTTAAAATCAAGACGAAGGAAAAGTCAGTTTACTAAAGGATCCCTTTTAGAAAATAATAAACCTTAAGAAACTGACGGATAAAAAGAACTTTAATTTTGTCCCAGGTACTATACACTACACGCCAAAAGATACGTTACCCTCCTATCTTTATGAATTACTGAAAAACTATCAAAGATATGTTAGAAGTTATTAATTTACAAGAAAGCTTAACAACACAGCTTTATGCAAATCACGAAAAGAAATTCTCAAATGCATTCATATTTAGGTGAAATGCATCCTTTTCAGAAGAATTAAATTGTCCTATTTTCGTCGATGTCGAAATAAACCAACAACAGTGATTTAGATGTCTAAAAGTAACGTTGAAATAATATTCTGCTTTGAGACAAAGATAAACTATTTCAAGTCACCATTTTGCAACTGTTAACACAAGAAACAACTGTTGTAGAGTGTGTAAAATTGGACAATAATCATTCCTATGATTACAGTCTTTTAAAACATTTTCTGCTGATTTTCATTAGTGAAAACAAGTAAAACGTGTCTTTGGTATTGTGAAAAAGTGTTTAGGAACATCTAAAATTAGCTTTGTTAACATTTTGGCTTGCAAAGTAACATTTTTCCATTTTCTGTGTACACATAGCAATATCAATCGCCAAAACGCAGCAATAATCAAGCAGTATTTGCATCCATTTCACATGTGGAGTGTTTTTATAGGGTATGAAGATAGACTAGAATGCATGATATGATACACAAGTACGAGAAATATGCCACGATTAACAGCTGAAGAGAGAGAAAGAGCCATTGGGATGGAGCAGATGGGGTCGACATACAATACAGCTGCCAACGCCCTCGGATGCCACCGTATCACGGTTGTAAGATTTATTCAGGGCTTCAGACAGACTGGGGTCACCGTAGACAGACCAAGAATTGGACGTCAACACATCAGAACGCCAGTTGAAGACAGGTACCTCCGTCACTAAGGCGGGAGGGTAACGTTTGTTTTGGCGTTTAGTGTAGTTATTAAGTTTGTATAACGAACTAAAATGTGTTGTCCCTGTGACTTCGTTATAGCCGTAGTCTAGTTCGGTTTAGTTCGGTTTCTTTGTGAAGTGAACCTGTATCATATATTCACTTTGACATTTTTTAGGATTCCGAATGATACATTAAAAAATGACTCTCTTTCGTATCTTTCAGATCAAGTCGAAATTGTCTTTTTATATCAACAAGTCGAAACGAATACAAGTTTGGATATCATTTAGCTTCAGCTGTTGAGGGTCGGTTTGTTAGTTTATTTGGTAAAGCGTTTGATCATCACGTCGACGACCTGGGTTCGATTCCCAACAAATGAATAATGTCACCTTCGCTTATATTGGTTGAATATTGCTCACTCACGCACTCGTTTACACCGTTGGAAACTTGAAACTTACACGACAACGTGATGTCAATAGCTTGTTTATCAGTAAGAGGCTTCACTGGCTTCAGGACATACAGAACATCGTCGACAGGCCCCCTTGCGTCACCACGAGCACCGTTATAAGGCGCCATCTCATACAAATTACCTCCAGGAAGAGATAGGAAGCCTCGCTGTAAAAGCAAGAAACGCCGAAATATCAACATATTCGGGACCACGTAATATATGTCGAGTATCGGTACTAGAGAAGAAGTGTTCGTATATTCTTGTTTGTTGTTTACCCCACATAGCTATAATCCGGAGGAGATTAAAATCTGCCATTGCAAGCAAGAGCCAAGATCGACTTCAAAGATTTGTTTGTTTGTTTGTTTGTTTGTGACACGGTCTGATAATATTCCGCCTTCAAAAAATATGCATGAGACACCACGTAGCCAGTTTTGCTTAAACTTCTAGGTTTTTCTGTGTTCCTATATTGATAATCAAAATCCGCTTGTGCCCACGCTTCTTTAAAAATAAAATAAGATTACAATAAACTACTTTAAACAGGAACTCACGATTCTTACGAACTATTTTCGTGCTGGTCTCTTATTGATGCTTTCGTCGATATGAGTTTAACGAACAACGGTTATAACAAACTGACCGGTCACGTTGAGTTCGCTATAGCCGTAGGTATATTGAGCCAATTTAAACTTTATTCTGCATTAGATATTGATACAGTTACTTAGCGTCCTTACTGTATCATACCCGTGAAGATCCGGGTTAGAACTGATCTTCAGCAACCCATGCTTGTCGTAAGAGACGACTAACGGGATCGGGTGGCCAGGCTCGATGGCTTGGTTGACACATGAAATCTAATCTCGATTGCGTAGATGGATGCTCATGATATTGTCACTGGATTGTCTGCCGCCATATAGCTGGAATGATGGTGAGTGCGGCGTTAAACAACAAGCAAATGTTACTGTATGACATGACTCGTATAACACGTTACTTACAAGCTGATACCGTGGTTTGTCCTCTGATGTTGTCTGGCAGGACACCTCAATAGAAGCCATGTTAGCAACATCCAGGTACTCGTGACGCCCCTGCAGAGTGAGTGAGTGAGTGAATTAGTATATATCAAACATCACACTTGCAATACTTATAAAACATCGGTGTAACAGAATACTATGAGCTGTATGCTTCTCTCGAGGGTAATTATTTACGGTCTGATGTTCGCCTCTTTGTAGCAGTGTTACCCGAACACTGCTACAAAAAGGCGTACATCAGACCGTATTAACGAAATCCGTGCACTGTATGCGTCATATTATGACGTCATGCGATTGTAAGCGATTCAGCTTCTCGGCGGAGAGTTTTTCGTTTCCCGTGGCAGCGGATAATAATTTTTTTTCAGTTGTCACCCTTCTGGGAGGGGCGACATGGAAACTTGTTAAAGCGTCATTGACCAAGGAAATTAAAGTATTCTACATGAAGGTAAGATAACGAGTCTTGACTATTCGCAGAAACATAATCAATTTGGTGTCAATGACAAAATATAGCTGTTAAAACGCATGGGTAGATTAAACAGCAGTGATGACACCAGGTGTTCATTGAAAGGGCAAGCATGTTCTTCTCCACTGGTAACACCCGCCATTCACACAATTTACCTGAAGAAGTAAGCGCTTACAGCATAGAAGCACACAGTAATACTTCAATAACATATCCACACCATAGTAAACACATGTACAATATCAATATCATATATTCTTAGATGCTTTGCTAAACGATCAAAGGTGCCGACAGTACTTCATAAGGGGATAAAGTACACTATTTGCATGACATCACACTGTATTGGCGTCTCTACGCTATTCAACGTTCGCAATGTTTAAATACTCCATCTGGATCACAGGCAAACTGTAGCGCAAACAGGGTTGCGCAACAGTGAGGAAAATTACCAGTCTTCCTATATGCGAGGGAAACAAGCAAAGGTTGGCAACGTACTTCCCTCGCTTCGGTTCGAAAAATAGTTTCAGTGTCAAACTAAAATATCGCCACCATCAAAGGTAGACACGCAGGGTTGTACTCTCAGATTTTCAACTTCAATTTTGATAACTACTCGCCTTAAATATATTTCATGCAAAATTTCAAGCGTCAATTAACGGCATTACAAGATCATGTTCCTGTTTTTGACAGGTAAGGGCGTCGGCATTTCGAAATAACACTAGCCGTCCCGAAGTCAGTATGATGTTGCAGAGGGACGTATCAACGAAACTGCAACATTGTATCACGGCACTGTTAAACCGGATGAAATCGGACTGTTCGAGGCAACTAATGCACACATGCCTGTTACGGATAATGTTTTGGAACGCTTTGTTGGACCATTTTCCCCTAACCTTATCTCATCTTAGAAGGGGTCGGTTGTAGTCCCTGAATATATATAATTTTGATAGTAACAAATAAACCCTTTAAGGAGTCCCAGTGAGTTTTGCTTCATTGAGAGCTTTAGCATTGCAGATAGGGCTAGGCTGTAAGGAAAATAATGTGGTTCAGGGACTGTGAGACAGAGTGTGGTGGCCTAGTTGTTAAGAGTGTTCGTTCGTTACGCCGAAAACCACCCGAGGGAGAGTTCACGAACCAGAATATGGACTCTTTGAACCTAAACATTCAGTAATAATTTAAAAGCTGTAATACAAACAAACAATTTTCTCACCAACTTTACGTGCCCCTGTTTAAATAGAATGAATCAATGAAAGCGACAAAACTGTTCAATAAGCATAAAAACGTATGCACTAGGAAGCGTATTCATTATTTGGACGATGTCAAGCGTGTGTTTATAAGCATTGGTTGGTTATGACAGTAGGCGTTCGTGGAAGGGTGTGTATACTGCTCCACTTGTGTGAATGTGTGTTTCTTGAGAGAAGAACAAAACAAACTATAAGTCAAGATCCTGTTGGAAGAAAACCAACACAAATAGGAAAACGAAGAGGGTGTTTTCATACGGTCTCCCATCACATACAGATTTATGACCGTGACAGTTGATATTTGCACAAGTGTCGAATATCTTGAGCAATACCTAGTACCAGGATGTGGGTCTTTTGTGTAACAGAGGAAAGCTGCGTGTTAAGTTATGCGGATTTAAACAGCTTGTGTATAGAGGGCTATACAGTGGCCTCGGTGCGGTATGGCATACTGTAAAGGACATCTTCTCGATCTCACAATCTCGAATTCAAGACTTTTCAAAACACGAATACAAGCATCCAGTGTATATTGTGAGAACGTCCTTTACAGCGTTCTGCGTTGCCAAATTTCTAGTTCTCATTTTCGTATGTTTTTGTCATGTTTGTATCAGAAGCTGGACATCGCGATTATATTCCCTACAGTATCCCATAGTGGGAGTATTTTATTTGAACATTTATGTATTGCGCATTAAGTGGAAACTTCCTGGTTCAAAGTGTCTCTCGGTGAGCTCTTTTTAAGAGGGTTATTCATGTTAGGTTTAAGTGTTTTGGGCTGAATGGATCGTGATTCTTGAATTAATTCACTTTTTGTATAAACTGAAACACAAAAGAAAGGGAACACCTGGTATTTTGCGGTTAATTTTAAAAAAAAGTTAAGTCGCACACATGTTGCCAAAACACCACAGATATGCTTCACAGTGTTTTGCTTGGGATGTCTTAAAATCAGACTTTTGTTCAATCGCACGTGCATGTTACACGTCATCAATATATTTTACAGTCGATTGAGGTTGTTAGTGGAATATCTGTTTAAAGGCACATATCAAGTGATTGGCTTCCCGATCTTCAATCTGAATTAATACGAAGGGGTACAATGACATGTGTCAACCTAGTCAGCGAGCCTGACGACCTGATTCCGTTAGTCGCCTCGTATGACAAGCATGGGTTACTGAAGATCAATTCTATCCCAGATACTCACGGGTCGAGACTCAATGTATTGAATGAGATAGGTGATACCTCGATGTTCATGACGTCATCACGGCTGTTTTAATGTATTTTAATTGATAAAAGAGCTAACTTGGAACCCGTTGTCACGGGAAAGGTGTTGCATGTGCGAAACTGATAAAGCTATAGCACAAAACAGGAACGATAAAGGCGTCCGTCCGTTTTCGTATTTGAGACACATTTGACATATTTTCTCAGTCCTATCTGACATAATGATCGATATTTGCCGGAATCTGGTATTTCAAACGCGTTGGGAACAAAACTACAATCCCAGGCATAATCTCGGGGTCCTGTTTTATCCTGTAAATCCCTCCAACCATGAAGGTACAGAGTATAAGAACTATAAGGATAATTGCCCAAAGTCTTTCTTATTCATCGTAATTTACAACCTGCTACTTATAGGCATGGTAGCAAATAACCCTCCGACATAAATGCAAAGTACCCGTGGCCTTTTTTCCTATGTAAAGTAATGATTGTCTGTGTTAAAGAATGGTGCATTAACTTCGAAAGACATTTTCCCGTGTGCCTCGTTGTCTTGCATTGGTATTAGCAGCTTTTACTAACACTGTCCTGGGATTAAGAAGACCCGGGTTTGATTACCCCCAATGTGTGACGCCCATTTCTGGTGTGATTTTGCTTGAATATTGCTAAAAGTGGCGTAAAACTACACTCACTCACTTGCCATTACTAAAAACGAAAAAAACCCAGATCTATTGCATCGTCCTTTGTTAAAAGGTTATAACTTGGATAATACAGATAAAATAATTGGAAACATCTGGGACGGCTAACTGGGGGACAGAGTAAGTTGTTGTTTCCTGTGTCCGTTAACACAACGCTCGTGTTTGTTGAAACGGAATATCAGCTGCAAAGGTACGTGTTCAGAGTACGTACCTCCATGTTCATAACCGTATCCCTTACGATGACGGTGTTCTTGCCAACGTGTCTGACAACATACACAGGTGTGTTTTCCTTCACTGCTGAATTTCTTTCTAAGTTGAGGGTGAGATGGCCGCTTCCGGTTCGCACACTGACCACGATGGAGTGGTGGAGTCGGCAGAAGGGGACGTTTTCAGATGAGATGTCTGGATGAACGATGTGAATGATGGCCTCCATACCTAAGACAAAACGACACACGAAGATAAAGCCATGGTTTTAACATTGTATAGAACACATTTAAACTTGGAAAAGATACGTCTCGTGAAACAAGATTTTATCATTCATTTCAAAACAGATTCGTGACGTTGTACCTCACCTGAATATGTGGGACTGCGAGGTAGCCTAGTTGTTAGCTCACCTGAATATGTGGGACTGCGAGGTAGCCCAGTTGTTAGCTCACGTGAATATGTGGGACTGCGAGGTAGCCTAGTTGTTAGCTCACCTGAATATGTGGGACTGTGAGGGAGCCTAGTTGTTAGCTCACCTGAATATGTGGGACTGCGAGGTAACCTAGTTGTTAGCTCACGTGAATATGTGGGACCGTGAGGTAGCCTAGTGGTTAGCTCACCTGAACATGTGGGACTGCGGGGTAGCCTTGTTGTTAGCTCATCTGAATATGTGGGACTGCGAGGTAGCCTAGTGGTTAGCTCACCTGAATATGTGGGACTGTGAGGTAGTCTGGTGGTTAGCTCACTTGAATATGTGGGACTGCGAGGTAGCCTAGTGGTTAGCTCACCTGAATATGTGGGACTGCGGGGTAGCCTATTGGTTAGCTCACCTGGATATGTGGGACTGCGAGGTAGCCTAGTGGTTAGCTCACCTGGATATGTGGGACTGTGCGGTAGCCTAGTGGTTAGCTCACCTGGATATGTGGGACTGTGCGATAGCCTAGTGGTTAGCTCACCTGAATATGTGGGACTGGGAGGTAGCCTCCTAGTGGTTAGCTCACCTGGATATGCGGGACTGCAAGGTAGCCCAGTGGTTAGCTCACCTGAATATGTGGGACTGTGCGGTAGCCTAGTGGTTAGCTCACCTGGATATGTAGGACTGCGAGATAGCCTAGTGCTTAGCTCACCTGAATATGTGGGACTGCGAGGTAGCCTAGTTGTTAGCTCACCTGAATATGTGGGACTGCGAGGTAGCCTAGTGGTTAAGGCGTTCGCTCGTTAACAACGAAACCTCGGGTTCGATTCTCCAAATGGGTAGATGGTGTGAAACCCATTTATGGTGTCCCCAGCCGTGATATTGCTGGTATATTGATAAAAGCGGCGTATAACTAAACTCACTCACATGGATATGTAATGAAAAGATTTAAGATATCAACAATGAAGGACAATAAAAGATATTTCTCAACGTCGATTTCAAACTATATTCAGCAGATATACTGCTGGCTAACGGACCAACATGAAACAAGTAAATAAACTTGGACAATGTGCAGTTGAAAATGTAATTTGACTCTTTAATTATTGTGAGGCACCTAGTACTATACTGAGTACGAATTTATATTGAGTTTATGAATTACATGGGGAAAAGTGTTGTTTTTAATAAAAATTCTTGGTCACTGTGATACATGGACTCATAACGCTGAAACAATTGCGAAATCGATGCTCATGCGGTTGATCACTGGTTTGTCTTTCCAGACTATTTACAGACCGCTGCCATATGGCTGGAATATTGCGGTGTGCGGCATCAAACAAGGAAACAATAATGCTGGTGTCATGTCGGATAACACAATTACAATATGTGTTATTCGACATATACATATTACATACGACACGTTGTAATTACATTACGAAAATGGATGGAAAATGAAACCAAATGATGAACCAATAAGAGGATGCGGTAACCGCAACCTTTACCCCAAGATGAATCCCTACATATACTGAGAGAAACAAATAAAGGAACACAGTAAAATTCAAGCGTTCCTTTAATATTTTCTAGTTTTCACCACCAGCTTTGAATAGCGCTGTGGGAGGAAATCAGAATAAATAAAGGAACACTGCCATGAAGTGGTGTTCCCTTGTTTGTTTCCCTCTGTATATACTCTAAAAATCATCTATGTTTCAATTTACAAAATGCTAAGAAAATCGTCAATTGTTATATATATATATATCGCATAAGTATCATACATTGGCGGCCTACCTTCGGACGGTGTTACCATTGGAAGCACAAGATACACCAATAAAACCCTGAACCTATCCATGTTGACCACGTCTGTTGTAAAGTCAGATCAAGATCTCCCTGGCGTTTTGTGGTCTGCTTCACGTACAACTGAGGTTAACCCCAAATCCACTATGCGCATCAACGGGAGCGTATCCGGGTTGAGGAGCACTTCAAAGTTAAAATATTGCAAATCTATTTACACGTATTTATCTATGGTATTAATAGTTTTGACTACATGACGAAAATTACGTAGCGGGAGAACCGGTTCGCGAAAAGCCTACAGCAATATATCGTATTGTGATATATATCTTGGTACTCCCCAAAAACGCAAAATCTGCAAATAAGCATCACAAATTTCAGGAGACAAAATGTGCAAGTGAGTGAGTGAGTCATATCGGCAATATTTCATCCATATCTTAGGTATGTATTAAGAATAAATATTTAGACTATCGTATACTTTTTAATAGCCTGTCAGCGAAGGACAGTATAACGACTAGATTATCACACATTAATAAAAACTAGTTTGACTTCACTGTAAAATTTCAAAGCAACACAATATAAAATCGGGCTGTAGAAGGCAACTGAAGGTAGATCACCATGCTAGGCACCACGGGGACTTACGTTACTGTTGCTACCTGCATGATCCCGAGCTGAATATATATCATCCCCTCAGCTGTTGGCGATTTTTAAGCAATTTAGCCATAAATTAAAACTACAAACATTCTTCGATTAAAATTCTGGCAATGATCAACAAACATTGAAGGATGTTGTCTTTAGTACCCTCTTCGTAGGGCAGTTTTTTTCGCTACTTCAGCCCCCTCCGAGAGTCGGCCACTAATAATCATAGTCATGTATTCATTCGACCAAAGTTTAAAAGGAGCGTATTAATTACGGTACATGATCGATCGAGTTGAGAGAATGGTTGTTGCATGAAGTCACTAGCCATTGTCGCTCTTTGCCGTTTCCTCTGATGACTTAACCACACTTATTGTTATAGCAGCTACATATATAAAAATGTTCATCTAAAGGACATATATGTCTGCTCTCTTTGACCGTATATAGTAATATTTCAGTTACACTATGTATATCAAAAGTTTATAACTTTCCAAGGTTCATGTTCAAACTCGTGCCCCGTTGTTTGTTTATGAACAGTAAATTTCAGTTTGCACCATTCTCATGCAGTTTATACTGTTAATCTCAATCTGGATACTTGTCACCCACGTCCTCGTATCTTAGACGTGGACTTTGTGAGACAAGCAGTGGGGGTAAACCTTGTCTGTTGTCAGTAACCTGGACATTCTGTGGCTAGTTCCAATGTGACAAGATTTTCTGGAGGGTGGAAGGTGTCATACTGATTTTATGGTTGACACTCCTACTGCTGCTGAGAGATTCTACACGATAGGCCCTGTTATTACTTTGGGCCAAGGACGAAGTATGTTGCGTGTCCCACTGGTGAGGCTGGGTGACCTCGACTTTGTTAACTACTGAACATTAGATATAAATAGACTCCATTTCTAAGCAGAACTATTGTGGCGATCCATTACGGTTCAGCCTAATGACCACAAGTAAAGCGACACAAACATCACACAAATTGTATGTCTGATGTTTTCGATTTACATAAACTAGCTCACATGATAAATAACAAAATGTTGAGACGATACTTTTCACGTAAACCTAGCCCATGATTGCATCATTAAGTTCAACCAAATGAACAGTGGTCTTTTCCAAGAAGCCATCTTCAGACGTCATGAATGACGAGATAAATAGACTGCATTTCTAACCGGAACTATTGTGGCGATCCATTGCGGTTCAGCCTCATGAGCAACAAGAAAAGCGACACAAACATTACACAAATCTAATGTCTGCATACAAGTTAGGATAATGATTAAAGCTGGTGGGTTTTTTCTATTCGCCGTCCTCGGTGATTAACTAGAAGTGAGTGAGTGAGTTTAAAGTCCCATTGGCAGTATTTCAGCCATATCGTGACTAAGAAAGTTGTAAATTTATAAATGAATAAACATACAAATTTAGAGAATATACTTACCTGTCTGCAAAGGACAGTAAAACAACTAGATTATCACCATTACTATATTTAAACCTAGTAATTAAGTCTAAAATATTTTAACTATAAATGACTATACAATATAAAAACAGGTGGACTAAGAGAAAGTTTGTTACTGTACAGATCCTCATGATACGAAAAGATCAAAGACAATGTCTCAGAGCTTGATGGTGGGTAGAATCTAAAACTTTAAGGTTGCTTTTGCAGGCTCCGCCATAGATAATGGAGCCATAATCCAGTTTGGAGCGTATAAGTGCTCGGTAGAGTTTGAGGAGGGTTTTCTGATCACCTCCCCACTTTGTATAAGAGATAGATTTTAAGAAATCAAGGGCCTTCAGGCATTTATTTTGTAAATATTTAATATGAGGTCGAGAGGTCAAGTGCTCATCAAAAATTAAACCCAATTTATTTTCTTCTTTTACCACCTTAGGTGTGTTATTTCTTTTACCACCTTAGGTGTGTTATTTCTTTTACCACCTTAGGTGTGTTATCTAAATATAAGTCTAGGTTTTTGTGAGGTTTATATTTGATTTATATTTGAGTTTTTGTTAATCCATTTTCCAAATACCAATTATCAATCTGGTTTAAACAAAGCTACAGTTGTCTTTCAATAGAATGTATATATTTTCCACGACAAGAAATGTTAAAATCATCCACAAATAACCATCCATCAATTGAATCATTTGAAACCTTTGGTAAACTGTTAATCTTTATACTAAACAATGTGACAGACAAAATACTGCCTTGCGGAACACCCTGATGCTGACTATAATGACTGACAGGGTTGTACCCACTCGTACTTGAAACTGCCTGTCATTTAAAACTTTGGATATGAATTGAGGCAAACAGCCTCTCAATCCAAAGTCACGTAAATGTTTTAAATTACCATATTTTCATGTAATGTCGTGTACGTTTTTTCTAGATCGAAAAAGATCGACACCGCATGTTGTTTATTAATTACAGCGTTTTTGACAAATGATTCTAAACGCTCTAAGTGATCAATGGTGCTTCTGTTTTTACGAAAACCACATTGAATGTCCGTTATTAGGTTTCAAATGTGCAAGAAACGTTGTGCAAGAAACATTTTGTATATTTGAGATTGGCAGAAGTCCGCTAGCATCAAACTTGGATATTAAAGTGCACACAAAGGCAATTTGAAACTACAATCGCTTGTTCAAGTGGCTCCCCCTTCATGTTTACTGAAAGAGCTTGTTGTGGAGACACTACCCACACCCCTTTCAGATGACGTAATCATAAGGACATAAATTATTCTTATGTTTTCACTTATTCACACATGATGCCAAGGGGTCAAACTAAATAATGAATGTCAGCTCTCAATATATTGTATATCTTGACACAATGTTTCTGAAAAATTGGGAATGTCCTTAAAAAACGGTCCCCGTCTAAATATAAATCAAGCAATCCATACCTTTGAATGTTGATTATGACGGGAAGTCATCCAATACTATAATGAACATACCTTATATGATTTTATCTGAGAGTATACCATTATCCAAGAGGTACCAAATGACAGATCGTTTTTCATGTTCTGCAAATTTTTAAGAAATATTATACACAAATGTGTTGTGATGACTAATATCTCGTTAACCACATTACCCACATATGTGAAATTTTAGATATGACTTTGCTAATAATTCCTTCAAAATAAAATGGAAGCTTTTCAAACATTGGACATCGAGAGTATAGTTAGACAGGCCACTTTTTTCAACGCCCCTCGTAACAACCTTAAAAGAAAAGAGAACGTAGACGGAAAGAAACTTTTATTCTTATTTTGATAACTATTTATCACCTCACCTATTGGAGGATCTTTAATATTTTGTATAAAGGTACTACTTCATAAGGACCCATTCCCCTCTTGTAACTGATGATTCTGGGATATACCTTCAGTTTTTACAGATGTGGATAAAGCTCATCAAACATTAGATGACTATTTTGTATATGTTTCAAATGTTAATGATAGCGGTATGACTTTGCCACCTGTTAGCCATCGCTGTGGTAACAGTATAACAAATGTCATTGTAACCGAAAAGGAGGTATCTGATATGATTAACACCTTACCAGCAAACAAATCTAGTGGACCTGATGGCATTAACATGGGAGTGTTAAAACGAATTTGTACATCTGTACCTGAACCTCTTTGTTTGTTGTATAATATATCACTGAGTGACTGTATTTTCTACAATGTGGAAAACGGGTAATGTTACTCCTATTTTGAAAGCAGGAGATACACCCCTCCCAACTAATTACAGACCTATTAGTTTACTATATCCTGGAGGAAGTTATTGAAAGGATAATGGTAAAGCATGTGCACAACCATTTCCATGCACATAACAATTTAAGTAAATTCCAGTCAGGTTTTACTGCTAGTCATTCTACCACATCTCAACTCATAAAGTTTATCATAATATAGGCTCAGTCCTAGATAATCGCCATCTTTACTGTATGGTATTTTGTGACATTTCGAAAGATTTTGACAGGGCCTGGTATAAAATGTTATTGCACAAACTTGTTTGAGTGGCATTTTAGAAGTTGAGACGTACAATATGGAACAAGTTTTTATGGATAACAACTTCTTTATTTCGTGAGTGCGACGTTTCGATACCGATTCTTGTACCGTTGTCAAGCAAGAGTGATACATGAAGTGGAGGAGCTGCATATATATACTGTGTATAACAATGAAACTATATACATTGTAATTGACAAAGGAAACAACATTATTGCCATAATTGGTTAAGCAGGAAGCTGATGAAGCCAGTGAGTACACAAAGGATAGTGAATGGAAGCCAGAGATGTATAAATACAGGAGTGGTACAATGGAGAGATGTTTATACAATAGGTGCGATGTTTATACAATAGATTGGGCTTGGTGGAGGAGTGGATCATAAGCTGATGGAATGAAGTATCCTTGGTCACGGTTGATGGTGGGATTATGGCGTTTGATGTGAATGGCTTCGGTGAGCTTGCGTTTAGTGAAGTCCGTTTGGTTGTTGGCGAGAATGGTGAAGTCGGACCACTCTATTTGATGATTGGGGTTTGCTTTGATGTGGT